TATTAGCTGAGAAGGCCTGGGTGCAAGGCTATCTCAGAACTTGGTTCTTAGATCCATTTGCCAAAGAAAGCAACCAGCGTCCCTTGAAGAAGTGGCTGATTCTAGAGCTGGGGCAGCAAATAGACAATAAGCCCTGAGCATTTTATAAGTTCAAAAAATAAGAAAGTACTGAAACACTTCCCCACACACAGCCTCAGTGATGGGAATATAGAAGCCAACTGAAAAGCTCCCAATGGCCAAACGTGGAACAATTTGAGCAATAAAATGAATATTATAGTATTGGATTATAAGCCAAAATATAAAAGAATTATTAATATTTCATACTTATATAAATACATCATTTAATAAGTAAATAAACAGAGGAGATCTGACAGATTTCCTGTTCAGAAGAATTACACATATTGTGTGGATACTCTGTCCTTGAGGACATGTAGAATAATGCTCCTTTCATGAAATGTGCTGTACATAGTGACATGGTGATTTCATTTAAAGAATACATTATAGAAAGAAAAAAAGAGTGATTTTACAATGGGAAAAATGGACAAAACTTCCTCTGCCATGTGTCAAGGCTGATATCAACAGTGATAAGTCATGTCCACAGTATGTACCTTTGACAGGATGTGGTGAGAATGGAACTTTGCCTGTGGGTTTTTATTTCCCCAAACCCATAACCCCAGCCTAAGCATGAGAGAGCATCAGACAAATACCCATTGCTCAATATTTGGCAAAATATCTGATCTTTAATCCTCTAAATTCTCCTGAAATTAAAAACCAAAGAAAGTCTGAGAAATGATCACAACCAAGAGGAGGCTAAGAAGATATCACTGCCAAGTAAGTGTAATGTAGAACTCCAATGGGATCCCGGAACAGAAAAAGGACATCAGGGAGAAACAGAAAATCTAGGTAATGTATAGACTTTAGTTAATAATAATGTAGTGACATTTGTTTGTTAGTTGTGGCAAATATACTATACCAATGTAAGATGTCCATGATAGGGGAAACTATCGACAGGTATATGTGAACTCTCTGCTCTCTCTTTGCAATAATTCTATAAATCTAAAACTCTTCTAAAGTAAAAATATTTCTAAAAGAAAAAAATCAAAAGCATAATTTCTCTAACATAAAAATAAATATACTTATTTCTGATGTTTTGAAGACAAATTAATTCACCCTTGCATTTTTTACAAACACATACAATTTTAAATTTAATTATGGAGGCAATGGCATGGACATGTCATCAGAGGTGACCGTTTTGTTGTTCTAAATAGGGGAGTCACGCAGACTTTCCTCAGCTGAAGAGATGTAGGCATCTCATTTGCCTCTTCATCCTTGCTGCCAAAAATAATCTCAATCTTCTTTCTCTCTCGATTTATATTTTCAATTTTGTTATTTTATCTACTTCTGAAAACTACCTCAAATCTAGTTGACTAGAAAAATGTATGAATGAATAAATATGTATATTGCTTACTCTAGTCATTTTACTCTTCTTTAAAAATCTATTTTTGAACTTCTTTTTTCTGAACAGTCTTTTTTGTTATTTTAAGTTTTTGATATCTTAGAGCACTTGTCATAAAGTTTTCCATAGGCAAGAAAAGATAAAAAGCAAAGGATCTTCAAGGAACTCAACTTCAAGAAGTTATGTTTTATTTCAAAGGAATCATACAAAAAAGAATGCTTAAGTGTTTAAATAATTATTAATAATAATTATCAGTTACATAAATCTGAGGTCAAGAATAAAAATTCCTTACTTTCTTTAATGAAGTACACGGAACAAATATATTCTGTGAGTCTAAAGTTAAAAGTTGTTTCCTACGTCTGTTTTGTGTTTCTGTAAAGTAATACCCGAGGCTGGGTAATTTATAGAGGAAAGAGGTTTATTTTTCTCGTGGTTCTGCAGGCTGTACAAGAAGCATGGCACCAGCACCCACTTCCGGTGAGGGCCTTGGGCTGCTTCCGCCCAGGGGGAGGCAGAGAGGAGCAGGCATCTGCTGGGGGGCGGGGGCAGCCTCTTTGTAACAGTCAGTTCCAGCAGAAACTACCAGAGCAGAACTCGCTCGTTCCCAGGCAGGTGGCACCACGCCATTCATGAGGGATCCACTCCCATGACACAAACATGTCCTGCTAGACCCCACCTCCAACACTGGGGATCAAATTCCAACATAAGATTTGAAAGGAACAAATATCCAGACTATGTCTGCTGCCTCACATAGTTTGAGAGGTTTCATGTATAATTTTTAAAGTTTAAATCACCATTGTCAATATGAAAGATGTCCCAAGTCTCTTAAAAACCACCAAACGAACCAACCAACCAACCAACCAACCAACCAAACCAAAAATTATTGTATATTATTTAAGAAATGGGGTTCTTTGCAAATTAAGGTTTTTGTCAGGCCCTTTAAAACCTCCCAAATAATACTTTTTGTGCCCCTTTGTAAATATACTCCATATGATTTCATTTCGCTGAGCAGAGTGACCTCCAGATACCGTGAGCTCGAGTAGTCGCTGTAGCCGACTGACAGAGCGGGGTCCACAGGGAACGGCCTCCCTCTCCACACGCCTGGGGAGCTGACGGACCGGAAGTCCACACGCGTCCCCTCATTTTCCTAACAGCCACCACAGACCGTCCCTGTGGTCTGGGCAAGAAACCGGAGCTTAAGAAGGTCAATAGCATGACTCAGGTCAGCCCTTGTGCAAGTGGTCAGAGATGGGATTTACCCGACTCCAGAGCCCATGCTGTCTGCCATGCATACTGCCATGCAAAAACACCCACTTTATTCCTAAAAGGTGTGTTATCAGAAATGCACACACATGCGTGCATGAACATGCACAAGCATATGCACAAAATCACAGTAAAAATTTTTAAAAATGCAGAAACTTCCCTCTGACTTTCCACAGCCAGTGACCCAATCCCTCCGAAGACCACAACCACTCGGCCATTGTCCCCAATCCCAAAGTCTGTCTATGGGTATTCTATTCGGCTTGCTTTTAAACATGGTATTTTTAAAATCTAGTTTCTGTGCATATTTTATGTTGTCAGTTGACTCAATGATATTCTCTGTAGCATTATGTCCTTCAGCACAGGCTTTGCGGTAGCGTCAGGTAGTCATTCGGCCTCATGGTCCCAGCCATCCGGGACACTGTCCAGCTCTCTACTTGTGCGGGAGCCCGAATCTCTGTTGGATTTTTGTGAGGTTTTTGTTTTGTTTTGGTTTTGGTCTCTACTTACATAGTTTGAAGATTGTGCTGTTCTATATTTTCTGAAATTGTAGCCATATGTGGATTTGTTGCCCTCAGTCATTTTAAAATTAATTTGTTCTATTTTGTTGGGAGGAAGGGAATTCAGAATCAAGTAATAGCCATGGCTCTCCCTCCATGTGCAATTAAAAAATATATTTTGAATTATAAATGGTACACAATAGTTGTTTATATTTACAGGGTGCACATGATGTTTTGATATAGGCATAGAATGTGTATTAATCAAATCAAGGTAATTGGATACCTCAAGCATTTATCTTTTTTTCATGTTAGGAACATTCCAGTTCCACTCATTTACTTATTTTGAAATATACCCTAACTTAGCATTCATTATAGTCACTTTGTTGTGCTACCAAATGCTGTTCATCCTATTTAACTATAATTTTTGCACCCATTAACCACCCCCTCTTGATCCTTCCTCCCCACTACCCTGCCCAGCCTCTGGTAACCATCATTCTATTCCCTGTTCCATGAGATCAATTGTTTTAACATTTAGCTCCCACATGTGAGTGAGAATATATGACATTTGTCTTTCTGAGCTTGGCTTATTTCACTTAACGTAATGTTCTCCAATTCAATCCGTGTAGTTGCAAATGATGGATTTCATTCTTTTTATGGTTGAATAATATTCCTTTGTGTATATATACCACAATTTCTTTGTCCATTCATCTGTCAATGGACACTATGTTGGTTCCAAATCTTGGCTGTTGTGAATAGTGCTGCAATAGCATGGGAGTGCAGATATCTTTATGATAGACTGATTTCCTTTCTTTTGAATATATACCCATGAGTGGGATTGCTGGGTCATACGGTAGTCTATTTTTAGTTTTTTTAGAAACATTCATACTGTCCTCCATAGTGGTTGTACTAATTTACATTCCCTGCATTTGCAATTTTTGAGGCAAATAAATTCTTCCCTACAAAATGAGTTAGTACTTGATATTCCTGTTTCATGCTGTTCTCATTCAATTTCTAATGCCCTTGTTGTTTGAACTGAGTCCTACTGACTATTAAAGAAACCTTTTCAATGATCTTTTATCAGTTTTCCATTTCATATTTACCATATTCATTAATCATGATTTGAGAATAGTCCAGTGGTACAAAATACCATCTGCTCTGAGTATTTATGTTCTAATGACTCATTTGCTGTACTTAGCTTCACCTATGTCTTTGGTTACCCCTTTTTTCAGTATTCTGTCACTTCCCCACATATCTCAAATTACTTCAGGGATCATTTATTACTAACCCAAGATGAAAACTGTATACCCTTAATTTACTGTAACATAACTTTCTTTTTTCATTTAACTGCCATGTACCGTGCTCCAGGTCTTGTGCCCAAAACTTTGCCTTCAGCAGAATACATAACCCTGGCACATTTTAATGAGCTGAATGTTAGTACTGGAGGTTTAGATGTGGGGCCCCGGAGCTCAGATTAGACCCAGTCTGATTCCAAAGTCCAAGCTCCTAACCACTTGCACCAGCATCTCTTACTTGTTAAGACTGTATGATATTCTTGAGATTTATTTGGTGGCACTCCCTTGACTCAATTAATCATAATATTGTTTTACCAAAAGAGAAACCAGAAGTTATAGACCAGAAACAAGAAGTTATATCCTTGACTAAGGATAACCTAGACCTGCTCTGGAAAATTTAGCTCCGAGTCTTGATTGGAATGAATTACTCATTTGTGCTTTCAGATCTCCCTGCTCCCATCTCCACCTCACCCTGTCCTGGGAGGCTGCGCTGTCTAGGATGTCAGCAGTTTCCTTGGCCTGTGGCTTCTTCCCAGATGTGGGCAAAGGGAGCATGCCAGGGAAGGAGGAAGGTGAGCCTAGGGGTTTTATTTTCCAGGGTTCTGTTCTGTGGGGTCATTTCTCAATCAGAGGTTATAGCTTCTCTCAGGGAATGAATGAACTTGAACAATACAGGCTTCCTTATGGACTTTGTTTTATTTATTTAAAAATTTTTGAGACAGAGTCTCCCTGTGCTGTCCAAGCTGGAGTGCAGTGGCATGATCACAGCTCACTATAGCCTCAAACTTCTAGGCTCAAGCGATCCTTCTGCTCCAGTCTCCTAAAGTTCTGTGATTACAGGTATGAGCCACCATACCTGGCCAAACCCCATTTCTTTCTTTTATTTATTTATTTAGGATATTATGGGGGTACAAACATTTTGGTTACATGTAATGCATTTGCCTACCCAACCCGGGGCTACAAGTGTGTCCCTCACCCATACAGTGTGTTCTGTTTCCATTAGTTGTAGGTTTACCCCCTCGACCTCATGCCGACTAGCAACCAATGAGTATTACTACTATGTGAATACCTTAATGTTGGTCACTTAGTACCAATTTTGATGGTGAGTACATATGGTTCATGTTTCACCACACTTATGATATCTCACTTCAAATGATGGGCTCAATCTCTATCCAGGATAATATAAGAGGTTCCAGATCACCATTGTTTTTTGCAGTTGAGTAGTGTTCCATGGGATACATACACCACATTTTATTAATCCACTCAAGTATTGGTGGGCACTTGGGTTGTTTCCACATCTTTTCTTCAGCATATTATGGGGGTATAAATGTTAAGTTTACGTATATTGCCCTTGCCCCCCCATCAAGTCATAGCTTCAAGCATGTCCATCCCCCAGTTGGTACACATTGCACTCATTATGTATGTATATACCTATCCCCCCCACTACTTGTCCAACACCCAATAAATGTTATTCCTATATGTCCACTTACGTCTTGATCAGTTAATACCAATTTGCTGGTGAGTACATGTGGTGCTTATTTTTTCATTCTTGGTGTACTTCACTTAGTAGTATGGGTTCCAGCTCTATTCAGGAAAATATAAGAGGTGCTAGATCACCATTGTTCCTTATAGCTACTTATAGCTGAATAATACTCCATGGTATACATGTACCACATTTTATTAATCCACTCATGTATTGATGTGCACTTCGGTTGTTTCCACATCTTTGCAACTGTGAATTGTGCTGCTATAAACATTCAAGTGCAGATGTCTTTCTTAAAAAGTGGCTTTCGTTCCTTTGGGTAGATGCCTCATAGTGGGATTTCTGGATCAAATGGCATTTCTATTTTTAGCTCTTTGAAATTTCTCCAAATTACTTTCTATGGGGATTGTACTAGCTTGCAGTCCCACCAGAAGTGTAAGAGTATTCCAGTTTCTCCACATCCATGCCAGCATTTGTTGTTTGGGGACTTGTTGATAAGGGCCATTCTCACTAGAGTTAGGTGATATCTCATTGTAGTTTTGATTTGCATTTCCCTGATGATTAGAGATTTTTGAGCACTTTTTTTTATATGTTTGTCAGCCATTAGTCTGTCTTCTTTTGAAAAATATCTGTTCATGTCCTTTTGCCCATTTATTGATGGAGTTGTTTGATTTTTTCTTGTTGATTTTCTTAAGTTCTATATAGATTCTTGTTATCAGCCCTTTATTGGATGTCTAGAAAGCAAATAATTTCCCACATTCTGTAGGTTGTCTATTCACTGTAATGATAGTTTCCTTGGCTGTGCAGAAGCTTTTTAATTTGATCAGGTCCCATTTGTTTATTTTGTTGCTACTGTGATTTCTTTGGGGGTCTTCTTCATAAATTCTATGCCTAGGCCAGTGTCTGAAAGAGTCTTCCCGACATTTTCTTCCAGAATTCTTAAGTTTTCATGCCTTAGGTTTACGTCTGTTATCAATCATTAGTTGATTTTTGTGAGGGGTGAGATGTGGTGATCTAGTTTCAATATTCTGCATGTGGATATCTAGTTTTGCCAGCACCACTTATTGAATAGAGATTCTTTTCCCCAGAGAATATTTTTTGTCTGCTTCGTTGAAGATTAGATGACAATATGCAGATCGTTTTATATCTGGGATCTCTGTCCTATTCCTGAGGTCATCTGTAGGGAGAACTATGAAATACTGAGAAAAGAAATTGTAGAAGATGTAAGCAGATGGAAATGCATACCATGCTCATGGATTGGTAGAATCAATATTGTTACAATGTCCATACTACCAAAGTGATCTACAGAATTAATACAATCCTTATCAAAATACCACCATCATTCTTTACAGACTTAGAAAAAATAATTCTATGCATCTTCTGGAACCAGAGAAGACCTTGTATAGCCAAAGCAATCTTAAGCAAAAAGAACAAATTGGGAGGCATCAGTCTGCCAGACTTCTATATGGTCTTGAATAAAAAATATTTTGAAAATGTCAATAGATTCTACCTTCATAAAACAAGATCATAAAGTTTTCTTTATGCTTTTTCTTTTGGGTAATATTATATTTTTCTGTCTTATTTTAAACTTGTATTAAAAGCCAAAATATATTATTTTAATAAGAAATAAAAATATACCATTTGATCCAATCTTATTGAGAATGGAATAGCCATCTATTCTGCTCTATTTTATAATAATATTCTTGCACTAATATATAAATGTAATAAGCTTTTTAAACTTTAATTTTCATTGAAGAAGACATCTGTTGTTGGTACTATGAAAACTTGGGTATTCCTGACTGTCTCTAACATGTGACAAATGTGCCTAACTCTCTCTCTTGTGTGGGACTATTAGCCTAGTCAAAATAAATTTCAAAAAAAGAATCCAATGAAAAAATGTAGAAGTAAAAGTTTTATATTAAATTTTGAGTCAATATGAGGTTTATGTGCCAGTACTGTTTTACAGAGAATGGAATTGTATCTATATAGTGCTGCTGATTTTCCTACCAACACAGTCAGCTAGTGGAGTATTTCTCATCAAGTAGATACAAAATAAGTATTTTATGATACATTAGTAAATACTGCTCTCATTGTTCATAAATGAATTCAGCAAGGATCTATTGAGCAAGTTTTACACACTTATCTCTGAATATAATGTTATACGGAACCAAAAATAATGATCATTCACACATTTATGAAAGATTTTTATATAAGAATTAAAGGCCGTTACCTATCCGCTCTCTTAATGGAGTCTTGTAGACTTGCTGAGTTCTTTTTTTAAATAAGGCCCATCTTTTCTTTGTGGTTAATGATTTTTGTGTCCTAGTTAAGAAGTCTTTACCAACTCCAAGAAAAATATTCTCCTTTTGCTTATTCTATAACAACTCTGTTATTGTTTTTTCCAAATTTTGACTCATTAGGCTGTCAGTAAAGTTAAATTAAAGTGAAGGAGTCTATAAAACATAAATGAGCAAACGAATGTTACACACAGAATGTCCCTATGCTCTTAAAAATATAAACACTTAAATCATTTAATTTTTCTTCTTTCGGCTTTATCAAAGAATTCAAGTTAAAGACACACTGTGTCAGCAGGCTCTACCCGTGCTCTTTTGCCTACCATTGAAGCAGCTTATGTAGTCTATTCAAATTAGTGCATTAATTGTGTCAATCCATTGGGCTTAAAAGATGAGAATATGTTTGGCAGAATTACTCTTATTTATGAGTAAGTAAAACAGGAACTAGCAGCTTGTGCTGAAAATGTTACAATTTATAAAGTGGGTCGAACAATGGGGTAGCAATTCAGAGCCCCATATATCCTGTGTGATGAGCTCCATGAAGGTTCTTGAAATTCCTGTTCCCCATTATTGCTCATCACAGTGCACATTCAGTCCACATAGACTTAATAAATAAAAGTAAACAGGGCCCCAAACGGTCACTTCCACTTTGATGGAAGGTCATTTGGGGCCCTCTTTACTTTTAACAGGGAAGAAAGTCCTAATCAAAGCCTTTTTTATTGCACTTAATACTACCTAACTACATTTCTTATCTGTTTACCCTACTAGAAAGCCAGCTGTACAGGAGTGGGGACATTGTGCTTCTTTCACTGTTGAATTTCCAGCATATAGAAAGTACCTTTCGTATATTAATATGAAAGCCCATGAAATGTCAAAGGATAAAAAACTAAGGACTCCAGTTACTACCTTAAGATGTTCTATAGAGCAGGGATTACAAATTATTGAAGAGACCATTGAAATAAATGAGTATGCATCAAATTGAACTATTCATGTCAAACCAATTTATTATCTTTAATTAAAAATGATAAGACACTCTACGCTGTGAACAGGATCACTAAGATAGACTACCTTCACTAAATTCATACACCCTACTGTGTAATTCTAATTGCCAGTGAAATTAAGATTTTCTATTAAATGATGAATGAAAGCTACCAATTGGAAATGATTAATTAACACATGAAATTTCTAGCTTAGTGCCTGACATGCAGCAGGCATTTGCTAAATATTATTTTCCTTCATTCTTACCTTCCTAAACTGTATTCAGTTTAAAGTAAGTTGGAAGCAGAGCAGCTCATTTATGAAGCTTGAAGCCCTAATTCAAAGGTACAGAGTATTTGTACCTGCATGTGCAAATGTAAAATGTACCATTTACAAAATCTATGATCATAAGATGAGAGGCACACAGACTTAGGAATCTGGATGACCTGGACTTGAATATGTATCTCATATTTATTAACTGAGTAACCTGGTATAATTTTTGTTGTTGTTGTTGTTTTGCTTAGTTATAGTGTCTCCATATGCACAATATCAGTACTATCACTAACATCATAGAGAAGCCAGTGGGATAATGCTATTTCAGAGCTCAAATTTGACTCATTTTTGTTTAGCCAGGTGCATCAAGGGTTTTAGCAGGACCCCAACACATCTGTCTTAAAGCAAAATGAGTAGAAAAACTCCAAGTAAGTATACAAAAGAATACGAAATGGACATGCTAAAGAAAAAAAGTCAGTTAAGAAAGTATAGCATTAAACCACTGAGTAGAGACCGAGTTGAAACACAAATATCTCACTTTTGTAGAAAAGTACTGTGCCTCATGTTCAATATTAGAATTATCCAATTCAAGGGATATATTTTGTGCAACCAAAGTAGCAGTACCTTCTTCTTATAGAAATGTGACAGGTTTGGCAAACATTTCTATACATCTCTGTTTGCTGAAAGTGATGTAGCCCTCAGGGTGAAAAGAGAGATCGTTCTTTAGAATTGAAATGCCCTGAGTCAAGTCACAGATCACACATGTGCTCCGTGCAGAGAGGTCCTGGGTATTCTGGATGCTGACACTGCCAACAGAGTCATCTTTCATATACAAAAGATGACATGTGTACTATATTTTCACATCTAGAGGAAATGTGGCTGCAAAATTCTTCAAAAGAAATGCTCCTTTGTGGTCTAGAAGTTCTACTAAAATGTGTGGAAGGGCTTATGGTAACAAATTAATAAAACAAGATGTATGGTATGATTTCAACTTTTAAATTGTTTTTAAGATACGGTTTATACTTTTATAAAACTTTCTCTATACAAATAAAATTAATTATATCTGATATTGATATTAGAGTTCACAGATTTGAAGTATTCGGTGAGTTTTGCCACAGACACTGTATTATTGTATGTAGTTCTCCAATTTAATGTGGCACAAATAGCTAGAAATGAGTGATCATGTTTACTCTAGATAGTAATCATGGGTAATCATGTTTACTTGGTGAACCATCCCATGCAGTGACAGGAATTGTTATTTTCTTAAGCATATACTGTATTCACAACTAATATGAACACTAAACTGAATGCTAAATACTAACATAGAAATAAAAGGCCTGCTCCTGTCTGCCGAGGAGTTAACAGCACAGCTGGAATAACCCCAAATGCAGCAAATACAGGAGCTCGATCACAGCACTCCCTTATTTGACGTGTCTGTGGGTAATGCAGCAATTCAGTGCTAAACAGGACCAGAAAAAGGAAGAGTTGTTGGGACTCAGTGGTGGGGAGGCAAGTACAGGTAGAAGAGCTGGGATTTAGGTAGAGAAGAAGTGGGAGTGGAAATAGGTTTGGAGAAGCACAAGAAGACGCAGAAGCAGAATACACCTCAGGTGTGTTGAAAGGATGTTATGGATTATGGATTAATTGGTAATGAGGGTGTAGGTAGGAAAGTGAGGAGTACTGTAGTGGCCACCACAGTGTATACAGAGAAACGTTAAAATTTTGTTTAGTATTTGGTTTTTGTAGTCTTTAAAAAGTAGCAAACAAGGGCATGGCAAAACAACTTAGTGTTTGCTTCCTTGAGAAGTTTATCCAGCAGCAGTGGTGAATGAAGCAAGGAGGGACAGAAATAGGACGGCCGTCTGGGAGACGGTGGCAGGCAGACATGCAGCACTGCCCCGGCCAGGGAGAGTGGCTGCCCGCTGTGGGAGAGGAGTGTGGCTGGCGGGCAGCATGCCCTGTTAGCTCAGGCAGGACCCGCCTCAGCTCCTTGGCCCTGGACGTGGTCCCCCTGTTCTGCAGGGTGGTGGGAGAAGGCCTGGCCTTTTCTGCCCAACACCCATCCAGGTGCTCTGGCCTAAACACTAAATGCCACACCCATTTTATTTCTTTTAACCACCTACTACGTGTAATCCACCATCAAATCTTGTTGATTTGATCTCCAACATATACCCTGAAACTTCCTACTTTTTCCATTTCCATATCCTAGCTCAAGTCACACTTTTATTTAGACTAACACTATTCAGGATGAACTACATTAAATTGCTAATGTTTGATTTATTTTTTTTACACCTACGGGAAAAGCAATTGCTAATGAATCAGACTACTAAGACTCTCCTAACTAGCCTTGACGCTTGCAAATATTGCTCATGTCATTTACGATTAAGTTCAGCTATGCAGTGCAGAAAACTCATGCCTTCAATACATAAGGGCTCACCTTCTCTTGCAAAATAAAGAGCTTGGCAGTTGGTTATAAAAGGCCCACATGAGGTTGCTATGGTTACCACGGATTCACACTCAGGCATTCTGCTCAGCCACCCAAGTATGAGGTGGCTATCCTCAAGGTCACCTTTATTCCCAGAGGGCTATGAGAGCTTCTCCCATTACGCCAGTGTTTCAGGTTGCAGAAAGAAGTGGTGGGTAAGGCCAGGCCACCCACCTGAAACATCTGCTTTTCAGCAAACTTCCCAGAGGTTCCCAGCTATCCCGCTTACATCTGATTAGCGAGTAGAGACGTGGTCCTACAAGTGAGTTTGGGAAATACAGGGTCTTAGCTAAGTACACATAGTATTTAGCTATACTGCGTGGGCAAGCACAGGCTCCAAAGCTCATTCTTCCTGCAGTAGGCAGAGTGACCTTTTGCTTGTTTCTAAGCTAAGCTCCATGTTCTATTTGAATGTGACAGTTTTTGCCTAATGTCCCACTCCAGGACACCTTCCAGAGACTGCATTTCATTTGGTCTTCATATCTCCATAGGCTGCTCTGGGCGTCTCCAGTTTCTCAGACTTTCTTGGATTTTGTTGACCTTGGCAGTCTTGAAGACTATTGGTCAGGTATTCAGTAAAATGTCCCTCAACTTGTGTTTGTCTGGTGTTTCTCTTAAGGTTAGGCTGGGGTTTAGTGTTTTAAAGAGGAAGGCTAGAGAGGTAAGTGCCGTTCTCCACGTCCATGCCAACCACCACACTACCAATGTGACTTACTGTGTTTCCCCGAAAGTAAGACCTCCCCATACAATAAGCCCTAGCAGGATTTCTAAGCATTTGCACAATATGAACCCTACCCTGAAACTAAGACCTAGTGACGGGCGTGGCTACGCAGCGCGTCTGCACAACCCATGCATTTCGTCGTGAAGCGGTAAAGAAGACGAGCAGCCCTTCTCATCCGCCCCATGAGAGCTCTGTTGCTCCACATGAGAGACTGGGGCCAATGGTTCTAAAGGAAATAGAGTCACAAGAAATTCAGGATGGAATTCGGGGTTTGGAGAGTGAGGATGATGTTCCAGAAGAAGACGACTAAACTATATTTGAATAAATGTAGATTGTTGTACCGTACTTAAAAAAATTAACACATCCCCTGAAAATAAGCCTTAGGATGTCTTCTTGAGGAAAAATAAATATAAGACCCTGTCTTATCTTCGGGGAAACACGGTATCTATCACTGGTGATGTCCACCTTGCTCACCTCCACTGTAAGGTTATTGCCCTTCTATGTGACAGTCTGGAAGCAAGTCGCTAAGTGTGGCCCAAACTTGCAGGGTGCTCTAGCTTCTCGAAGAGAGAGTATCTGATATTCTCTATAGGAGATTTTTCTCTTCTTCTCCATTTGTTTGTTTAGTCATTTACTTTTATTACTATGGACTCATGGGTACTTGCTTTATACTTTAGGTGATCACCCAACACTATTTTATGTATTTTTGTCAATCAAATGTTTCCACCTGGGACATCTGGAGCTCTTTCACTTGGCTCCTATGTCTCTTTCACTCATCCCTAGTTTGGGTTTATTTTAGTACTTCTCTGTCTTCTGGAACTGCAAGGTTTCCAGTCCAATCTTGTACAACTCATGCCTCAGCCCTAAAATCACCCATTTCTCTAAGGAGTTTTTCTCTCTTTACTTGGGAATGGTACTAGAAATCAAGGAAAGGGCACTAGATGTGCTCATTGCCACTGGAATGTCCATGTTTCTAGGCCTTTTTAGTCCACAAAACTAGGAAATATATGTATGCATACTAATTGTATACATACACCCTCATAACATATATATATGATATATATATCTCATATATATATATATATATATATATCTGTCACTCTGTATTTATATTAAATTAAATGGTTCACACTGGTACTGCCTACTTTAATCCAGAACCCCGCAATTTATTCTAGCTTTCCCTTGCTGACCTTTATAGAGTGATCTCCTAAATACATGATTCAGAAAATTTCTCATCTCTACCTCTAAACTGCAAACCTTCCCACCTTAGGATAAAATCCAAACTTTTTATAGCTTTGCCCAGCAAGGTCTCATCACGCACTGGCTGAACTAACTTTATCGTTTATTTTCCTAGCAGTCAGGCGCAATCCATGGGAGTGAAGAAATTCTGTAGCTGCTTCTTTCTTCATCATGTGATGAGAAACAACCAGGAGATAAAGAAAGCACCACATTCATCTGTTTGAATTGTTCAAAGTCAAATACACTTGCTAATTAATATTTAGTCAATTAATAACAACAAACAATTATTAATTACATCATATTATATTGTAGTAAAAAATAAAATTATTTTAAATTTGGATTAATGTTTCTCAAACTTTTGGCCACCAAGAATCAGTTAACTATGTTACTCCACACATGAAATAACAAATTTAGGAAAAATTAAATCAAACTATAATGTAATGCATTTTGTGTGTGTGTATGTGTATGTGTGTGCACAGTGTTATGCCAGGAAATTTATTGTCTTCAATTCTTGACACATGAATCCATATCAAACTCAGTAAGAGAGAGCTGGAGTAATAAGTAGGATTTAATATGCCATTTGTGTCTCTGATTAATCCTTACTTAAGACAGACATTTCTAATTCATAATCATACTCAGGAAAAGGAGAGGGGTGGCAAGGCTTTGTTAAACAATACTGGAAACTCAGACTTGCTTTGACAGCTTCAGAGTTTTGGAGATAAGCAAATAATATACAGAATTTGAAAACATAAAATTTCAGCTTGGAGAAAAGCAAGGAAAAGATTCTCTATCATCTCTGTGCTTGCATTTATGTGTGGAACAGGTTTCTTCATGTTCAGTTGTTGAATTTAGACATGGCTTTAAAAGTATTTAATGATTGGATAAAACACAATTAATTATTCTATTGTCAAGTTTCTCCACTTTTTTTTTTTTTAGAGATAGGTCTTAGTCTATTTTCCAGGGTACAATGCAGTGCTCAGTCACAGCTCACTGCAGCCTCAGACTCCTGGGCTCAAGCAATCCTTCTGCCTCAGCTTCCTGAGCATCTGTGACTACAGGTGTACACCCATGCCCAGCTAATTTTTAAATTTTTTGTAGAGACGAGGTCTAGCTATATTGCCCAGGCTAGTCTCAAATTCCTGGCCTCAAGTGATCCTCCTGCTTTGACCTCCCAAAGTGCTGTGATTACAGACATGGGCCACCACACCTGGCTCATAGTTTGTTTTTTTAAGAAATAATGGTAACTTTTTCTCAACACTGAAAATAAAAATGCCATCTCATCACTGAAATGAGATGGTCAGGTTTTTCAATGAACCTAATACAAATCTTCTCTCTCATTTTGATAAATTGAGTGTGTCTGTCCCCAGGACATAAAACAGGTCTGTGTAAGGCTGGCTTGGTCCCAGGCCTGTCCCTCACCTGTCATGATGGAGAGCTGGACAGTCATCACAGGGATTGGCAGAAGTCATACCGCACTGCATCTTTAACTACAGAGTCAGCCATCCATCGCCAGGCGTTTGGTTGTGTGTGACGAAATGGTCTGCTGACTGGCATTACGCATTTTCTTGCTGTACCTAGAAATGCAGCCTAAATCTAAGACATATTTTAATTTCTATCATGGCTCACAAAAAACTTTCTTAGTAAACACGAAAACCTTTCTTGCTTAGTGAAAACCACTGAGGACACACTCTCCCTTAAATGACTCACTCCCACGTGTGCGCCAAAAGCACGTTCTCACAGGACTCCACCCAGCTGCATCAGAGGAATCCTTCTTCTGCCGTGTGCGATCTCCACAGTGTCACATGATAAATAGCGTGCCAACATTCATTCTGCTTTTGCTTCAATCATAAGATTTGTCATTAACTCCGTAACAGGTTGTTAAGCTTCTCAGTAACCGTTATTTGGACAGATTTTTGCTATGATCAGTATTCCTTTCAAATGATAATCCCCTAGTTTAGGTATTCTAGAAGCCTTCGGAAGAAAATTAATCCATTACTTGTTAGAAAACATATTTTGATCAAATTTTAGAAAACCAAACTCTTCAGAAAATGAAAATGATAGGAAGTTGGCTGGCTTTAGCACCATTTTCTGACAAAATGTATAAAAAGTAATATGCAGGGAGCTAAGGATGTTCAGTGCCATAGAAAAACAATTTTTAGATAATACCATTGTATTTTCTAGCCAAAGTCTACTTTTTCAGAACCAGAGTACAATCATAGCTTTTCAATATGTATTTCTCACCCATATTTCAAGTCACATTCCATGACCCATGTTCTCCATTTAGCGTATATTGCTTTTATTGCTATTAATAGCTTATATTGCTATTCTCAGTTTTTGTTTATTTTTATGCTTTATAAATTAGTATTTTCTTTGTTAGTAATTACCATTCTTAGTTTTAATGAATCCTTTTTAGTCATTGATCCAAAAAGAACTGGATCCATGAATTGGTGGCACAATGAATAATATTTTAACAACAAAAATAGAAATGTAACAAAAGTACGCAATGATTTGTGAATGTGCAAATAGATTGTCCAAGGGGAGTGGTGCCTAGCTAGCTTAAGCTAAGCATGAATCAATCCAGTTACTAGTCATGCTTGTTACTACTCTCAGGTGCAAAATAAAGGGTGCAACAAAATACTCAATAATACAAATAAATAGTACTTAATGCAAAAATATATGATGAACAACACATCAAACTTTCAAATTAGGATCAGCATTGCTGGTTTTTATCTTTTGCTTGAGATCTGTTATGGGTCCTCAAGGCACTGACAGAAATCATAAAATCTCTGTAAAACCTTTTGGAAGACATACATGCAAGTTGAGGAATTGCGACTGCCTATTCTTCTGAAACTACAGAGGAGTTGTGAACCACTTGATAGACGATTGGAGACTATAAGAAAATTATATTCTAAGAAAACTCATTGAGAAAAACTGACTCATTCTGTATTTATGTTCTGTAATTGTAAAGGAGTGAATTTTGTGTGTGTATTTATAATAGTCAACTATGATATGGCTTATAAAATTTCCTCATTAACATCAAAGTTGTATCTACATACAGTCTGCCCTCTGCATCCATGGGTTCAAAATCCATGGATTCAACCAACTGCAGATCCAAAATATTAAAAATAAAACGGGGGGAGAAAAACATGGCAGAGTACGGAGAGATAGGAACACTCCTACACTGCTGGTGGGACTGCAAACTAGTTCAACCTCTGTGGAAAGCGATATGGAGATACCTTAAAACAATACAAGTAGATAGATCTACCATTTGATCCAGCAATCCTACTCCTGGGCATCTACCCAAAAGATCAAATGACACTCTACAAAAAAAGACACCTGCACTTGAATGTTTATAGCAGCACAATTCACAATTGCAAAGCTGTGGAAACAACCCAAGTGCTCATCAATACATGAGTGGATTACTAAAAGGTGGTATATGTATACCATGGAGTACTATTCAGCTTTAAGAAACAGTGGTGATCTAGCACCTCTTGTATTTTCCTGGATAGAGCTGGAACACATTGTACAAAGTGAAGTATCTCAAGAATAGAAAATCAAGCACCACATGGACTCACCAGCAAATTGGTATTAACTGATCAATGTCTAAGTGGACATATAGGAATAACATTTATTGAGTGTTGGGCAGGTGGGAGGGGGAGGAGAGAATGGGTATATACAAACATAATGAGTGAGATGTGCAATGTTTGAGGGATGGTCACGCTTGAAGCTCTAACATGAGGGGGGAGGGGAGGCATAGACAATATGTAACCTTAACATTTGTACCCCCATAATATGCTGAAATAAAAAAAATAATTAAATAAAAAAATGGCAGAGTAAAGATAACCTCCTGGATTCCTGCTTATGGAGAAATAGGCATAGATGTCAGTCTCCTACACATGAGTGGATCTCTCCCCCACAAGAACAGCATTGTGAATTGGCTGAGAATCAGTGTGGGACACATAAAACAGGAAGGATAAAAGGTGAATGGGAGATTAGATCATGATCTCTGGAGAGTACAAAACAAACAATAGGGCATAGAGCACGGGAGGGCTGCCCCAGCAGGCCAGTGAGTAAAGTGGGATCATACCCACAGGAGAACTTCTTGCTTCCCCACAGACCTCCACACCCACTCACACAGGGACCTGCCTGAAGTTGGTGCAAAATTGCAGCAGGAGGCTTGGGGCTCTGTGGAGAGGGAACAACAGCGGGAAGCGTCTTGAACTCCCCGGAGCTCTGTGTCTGGACTGCACTAAGCCGGGAGGAATCCGGTCTGAGCTGCTGTGGGAGGTAGTTAGGAGACAGGTAACTTGCCTCTGGCACCCAGCAGATCCAGACCTATGGCAGTGTTGACTAAATAGCGGACTCTAATCTGGAAACACTTTGGACGAATAGGCCCACTCAGTGCAAGTCAGTAAGAGTGAGCCCCCCGGCAGGAAAAGCATGAGACTGTGGGAAGGCAACATAAAAGAGACAACAGGGCATCCTAATGACCCAGCTCCCCAATCCAGCACCTGCCATCTCCTAAAGAGTCGCCCCCAGTGCTGGCGCTCTGTGCAAGGGTGGTCGCCTTTGTTGGGGTTGACAGCCCAGCCGCTTTGGTGTGATATGTATGGTGTGCTGAGCAGATCCATCCCCCCAGCCCAGGGACTTACACGTTAAGTTCTGCCCTTACACGATCTATGATGAACTAGCCAGGCCTGTCTTGATGGATGAACTCTAAATGCTTCCCTAGTTGTGAGGAGGCTAACGCCTATGGGACTTACAGGCACTGGGGCACCAGGGCACCAGGAAGACTGTTGTCTTCAGGAAACACACCTAACCTGCAAGGATGCATATAGACTAAAGGTAAAGGGGTAGAGATCAGTATTTCAAGCAAACAGAAGACAAAAGAAGGCTGGCATGGCAGTTTTGATTTCAGATAACTTAGTTTTTAAACCAACAAAAGTAATGAAAGATAAAGAGGGTCATTATATAATGGTGAAGGGTATAGTTCAACAAGAAGATATAATAATTTTAAATATATATGCACCCAACTTAGGTGCACCCAGATTCATACAGCAAACCCTACTTGATCTAAGCAAATGGATAAACAGAAACTTCATAATAGCTAGAGATTTCAACACTCCACTGACTGCACAGGACAGATCCTCCAAACAGAGAATCAATAAAGAAATAATGGACATAAACAAAACTCTAGAACAATTGGGTCTGACTGACATTTACAGGACATTCTACCCAAAATCCACTGAATATAC